GTGACTAGTAAAGCTCTTTTTATTCTTATCGAATAGTCAAGCTAATAAAAAGGATTTTAAAGTAAAACACTAGTAAACACTTTTGTGGTAGAAATTTTTTCTTTTTCTTTAACTTAGTATGAGCTACTTTGATATCTGAGTTCATTAAATGTAAGACTGACTGAGAACCAGTACAGTTTACATTTATATTGTGACATGAAGGAAAACAAGAGCCGGTTGAACCGGGTGATGCTCCCCGAATAGGTTTTGGACACAGGAAGGTATACCTCTTGTAGTGTCAGAGTTATGTCACAGACAAAGTTCAAAGTGTAAAAATAACCCAAATGTTGTGCACAACGTCTCAATATGGTGATCATTTCTGTGAAAAAGTTTTAAAATCCGACTTCAAATAACAAAGTTTTGGGCCATACGATTTTGCTACAAGGACATGCTGTGACCTTGACCTTCAAGTTAGCAACCCAAATGTTGCGCGCGACATGTCGTCTTAATATGGTGATCATTTCTGTGAAATATTTTTAAAATCCGACTTCAAATAATGAAATTATGGACCGGACACGATTTTGCTTCAAGGTCATGCTGTGACCTTGACCTTCAAGGTAGCGAGCCAAATGTTGCGCGCGACACATTGTCTCAATATGGTGATCATTTCTGTGAAATAGTTTTAAAATCGGACTTCAAATAACGAAGTTATGGGCCGGACACAATTTTGCTGCAAGGTCATGCTGTGACCTTGACCTTCAAGGAAGTGACCCAAAAGTGCGCACGACATGTCGTCTCAATATGGTGATCATTTCTGTGAAATATTTTTAAAATCCGACTTCAAATAACGAAGTTATGGACCGGACACGATTTTGCTGCAAGTTCATGCTGTGACCTTGACCTTCAAGGTAGCTGGCCAGTTGGTTCTATACTGGTGGCAAACGCTGATCTGTTTTGGTTCCCTCAGGTTAAGGGTTTTAAGTAGGAGTTAATATTAACAATAATACCAGCTTGCAAAATAAAAGAAAGGACTTATATCACAGCTCTGTGACATAAGTAAAAGAACAAACATAGAAAAAGGGGCATAATTCTGCATATATGCTTAACAGACTAACATACCCTTAATAGTCAACAAATATTTCAAGTATCAAGTGAATACCATTTTAAGAAAAAGGTAAATATTCAAAGTCAAAAAGGGACATAAATGGGTTTCAGGATTATCTGCCTTTAGGTATGCATTTCAAATTTGATAGTGAACAGGTATCCCGCCGAAATGCACTACATCTCTTCACAATAATTTATATATGAAAATGAATGAAAAATGTAAGAATCAACGAAAAAAGCAATAATTTCTCTACTTTGTGATCATGATTTCAAGCATCTTGAAGTACTGCTACAACACAAATATGAAAATATCTGAGGTGGTACTCAAACTTTAACGTAAATTATAAGTTGAAAAAGGGGCATAATTCTGTCAAAATGCTTGATACAGTTACCTTCTCTTATCTACAGGTTAGGGTCATGATGGTGAACAAGTGTGCAAAGTTTCAAAGCCATATGCCAATTGACTTTGAAAATACTTGAAGTGTTACAAAAAATTTAACGTAAATTCTAAGTCAATACAGGGGCATTATTCTGTCAAAATGCTTGATACAGTTATCTCCTCCTGTCTACAGGTTGGGGTCATGATGGTGAGGAAGTGTGCAAAGTTTCAAAGCCATATGTCAATGGACTTTGAAAATATTTCAGGTGTTACAAAAACTTAAACACAAGTGGTTTCGCCAACTAGTAAACTAGGTGACTAGTAAAGCTCTTTTTATTCTTATCGAATAGTCAAGCTAATAAAAAGGATTTTAAAGTAAAACACTAGTAAACACTTTTGTGGTAGGAATTTTTTCTTTTTCTTTAACTTAGTATGAGCTACTTTGATATCTGAGTTCATTAAATGTAAGACTGACTGAGAACCAGTACAGTTTACATTTATATTGTGACATGAAGGAAAACAAGAGCCGGTTGAACCGGGTGATGCTCCCCGAATAGGTTTTGGACACAGGAAGGTATACCTCTTGTAGTGTCAGAGTTATGTCACAGACAAAGTTCAAAGTGTAAAAATAACCCAAATGTTGTGCACAACGTCTCAATAATTATGGTGATCATTTCTGTGAAAAAGTTTTAAAATCCGACTTCAAATAACAAAGTTTTGGGCCATACGATTTTGCTGCAAGGACATGCTGTGACCTTGACCTTCAAGGTAGCAACCCAAATGTTGCGCGCGACACGTCGTCTTAATATGGTGATCATTTCTGTGAAATATTTTTAAAATCCGACTTCAAATAATGAAATTATGGACCGGACACGATTTTGCTGCAAGGTCATGCTGTGACCTTGACCTTCAAGGTAGCGAGCCAAATGTTGCGCGCGACACATCGTCTCAATATGGTGATCATTTCTGTGAAATAGTTTTAAAATCGGACTTCAAATAACGAAGTTATGGGCCGGACACAATTTTGCTGCAAGGTCATGCTGTGACCTTGACCTTCAAGGAAGTGACCCAAAAGTGCGCACGACATGTCGTCTCAATATGGTGATCATTTCTATGAAATATTTTTAAAATCCGACTTCAAATAACGAAGTTATGGACCGGACACAATTTTGCTGCAAGTTCATGCTGTGACCTTGACCTTCAAGGTAGCGAGCCAAATGTTGCGCGCGACACGTCATCTCAATATGGTGATCATTTCTGTGAAAAAGTTTTAAAATCCGACTTCAAATAACAAAGTTATGGGCCGGACACGATTTTGCTGCAAGGTCATGCTGTGACCTTGACCTTCAAGGTAGCGACCCAAATGTTGCGCGCGACACGTCGTCTTAATATGGTGATCATTTCTGTGAAATATTTTTAAAATCCGACTTCAAATAATGAAGTTATGGACCGGACACGATTTTGCTGCAAGGTCATGCTGTGACCTTGACCTTCAAGGTAGCGAGCCAAATGTTGCCCGCAACAAGTCGTCTCAATATGGTGATCATTTCTGTGAAAAAGTTTTAAAATCGGACTTCAAATAACAAAGTTATGGGCCGGACACGAATTCGGGACGTACGTACGTATGGATGGACAGACTGACTGACTGACTGACGGACGGACGGACAGACAACCACGACTATATGCTCCCCTGAAATTTTTCGGGGATCATAAAAAGATGTTTGAAAAAGCAAAACCAATGATGAACATCTTTAAGAAAATATACTGTAACAGTAATAAACTTCTGCTTAATTGGAATAATTAAAATTATAATTTACACATGATAACAATGGCTAATATTTTCTACCATATATCAATGATCTACACTCATTAGATGTTTAAGAGGTTTATTTATATACCATTTAATATTATCTAGAGCTCTTCTCTAATTTATGGCACTATAAAACAGCTGATTAAATAACAAACAGCCATTAGACTTAATTTAATGCCAAGATTTTACCTATATAAGGAAGGCAATAATCTGTTTATTTCATAACATACTGCACAGCTGTTATGTAAATAGCTATAATAAACGTACAATGATGCATGATAACATTCTTTATCAACAGATGTCTCAGCATATTTACTGCAACTCTGTTATAACAATCATGTTGGATTCCAAGATCTCAAAGTTGTGTTGACAACTCTCATTGCGAAATTAGCGCAATACGTCAACGATCACCGATACATATAATGCTAATGATTTTTTACCATCCAATCAATGAGTATTGACAAATTTGTTTTCTAAAGCAATTAATGTCAACATATATTATTTTGTAAAAAATTACCAAACAATTTTAAAAGCAACAGAAAACTTTCAAATGAAAAGTTTAAATCACAAATGTAAACAACATATAAACAGTAATCCATTACAATTGTAGTAAAAGCTTCTTTAGTGGCGGTATGGCTGAGTGGTTAACGTGTCGGACTAGTAATCTAGTGATCGCTAGCCGCATGGGTTCAAACCCTGTCAGGGGCCAGTTGTTGTTTCCTTGAGCAAGAAACTTTACACTCATTGCTCAGTACTGGTTGGTTCCAGGAATGGATTCAAAAGTGTGTCTATAAGCTTATAGCTTCCTACACAATCGAACTGAAAAACCAAAAGCTTCTAGCACAAGTTGTGTCTCTTAATTAATCAAGCACCACTGATCTTGCTCTTTCTGCTGTCTCTAACTGGATAGCAATAACATTTTTTGCCACTAGATAAAAAGTGCATGCTTTTTAAATTGATTAAGGGGACTTGTGTGAGTTACTCAATTCATCAGTGTTTGCATCTCACAGCTACAAATTTATGATTGTTACCTGACTGATTGACAAGTCAAAACAAACAAAAGAGCAGATTAATGCTAACCTGTGCATACTTTCCCCACCTTCACAAGTGTCCTAATTTTAAGTTAGAAGTGGTTAATTTGGACAGTTTTTCTGAAATTGACCAAAGCCAATGTCAGAAAAAGGGAACAACTTTGCAAAAATGAATTCTAGGATTATCTACCTTTCTGAAATGGTGTCATGTTTTGATAATGAATATGTATATCAAGTTTGAAGTGAATTACTTTGATAATTAACTGAGGAAATGGACCTTAACAAAAAAGTTAACCAGGGCTAAAAATCGAAGAATGCGAAAAAAGAACTTAACGAAAAGGTTAACCAATGCTGATATCAATGCGGATGAGAGGGTCATGACAATAGCTAAAAGTCATCATCAATTGATGAAAAGAGATCATCTCGCACTATATCAACTCTCATTACTTTTTGTTTCACAATGCCCACAATGTTGCCAAACCATTAAATGTTAGTTTAAACATTACTTAATACAAGCTTGATTGTGAAAAAAACTGGTGCTTTTTAAAACCACTCTTTAAGTCCAAGATACAAACTAGGAGATTTGTTTCTTAAAAACAGTATAAAATGATTGTAATGGATGATTGTTTCTTAAAACAGTATAAAATTATCTTCATCGCAATTTTTACCTGAGGTTTGAATCTAGGTTTGTCCATAGCTTTAAGCAGATCAGGAAAGGATGTTTCCACTTCTTTACGATCCACAGCGATGAGGTCACATGACTGCTGACTCAGCTGTTCCAAGCTGGCTTCAATGTCCGACGGCACATTGTACCTCTTCTTCCCACCAGTTGTCGTACTACACATGAATGTATGAAAATTAAATATTAACAACAGGGCTCTGCTAATCTTCTGTAGCTTCATTTGTAACATTCCAGACCAATACATTTCAAAAGATTTGTCAAGACCTGAAAACAAATGCCACAGTATGGGGCCACATTAATGCTGTATGCCAAATATCAATACGCTGTGATAAGTAGTTGCTGAGTAAACTGTTATAAAAATTTCCTACCATTGACCATTAATGTCGAAAATTTAACTAAGTTGGTAAACAGGAAGGGGATGAGCGACAGACCTGAAATCCAATCCCATGGTATGGGACCACATGTTGATGCTGTATACCAAATATCCAGAGGCTGTGACAATAAGTTGCTGAGAAAACTGTTAAAAAAAAATATTTTTTCCGATATGCCCTTCCACCACCCAACATAACAGTCATTATACAAAACCAAATAATAACAGTATAGCACTCTGAGCCATTCCACAAAACCAAATTATAACAATATAGCAGTCATTCCACAAAACCAAATTATAACAATATAGCAGTCATTCCACAAAACCAAATTATAACAATATAGCAGTCATTCCACAAAACCAAATAACAACAATATAGCAGTCATTACATATCAAATAATAATAATATAGCAGTCATTCCATAAAGTGAAATACATGAAATAACATGTGACAAGGAATGTGATAAAACTAGGTTTTTTGGCATTAACAATAGGTTACAATAGGTACAAGTAATCCATTATGGCCATCCATTGATATTCTTACCGTAGTTCCTGGTTAACAATATGTTGGTCTTTCCCCAACAGCGTTTTTTTTCTCTACTTTGGGAATGGTGCCGGTACCAGAGTGATTGGGAAAAAAATGCGTTATTTTGACTAAAATTGGGAATTTTTTTAATGCATTTTTTGAGCTACAAATGAGATTAGACATCATGAATAAAGATAGCTAACAGCTTCTACTGTCAAAATAGAACTACTGAATGGTGATTTATATGAATATGTTGGATTTAAATGATTTTAGAAAAATCACTTGGCCTTTTGGGCATTTTGAACAGCCATTTTGGGAATTTAACATTGGAAATTGGGAATTTTAATGTCTATTTTCTATTGGGAATGGTACCGTTTTAGGGTAGTAGTTATATAAAGAAAAAAAAACACTGCGCAAAAACATAATAATAACAATATAATGGCTTTAAGCAAAAACCAAGTGACAGTATAGCACTGAGAAGTCTTACCACATAAATAGAGCATGCTGTTTTGTAGCAAAATCTTGTTTCACATCATCAAAGCTTGCTGGAGTTAGACATTTATCTTCTTTTTCTAACATTATTGTCTTTCCACACATGGGTGCTGAAATTGATATCCAATAGCTGTCATATAAGATAGTAAGATTTTTTTTTCTTCTTATTTTTAACACAGATAAAATCATCTCTCTTATAGAATGATAGAATAAATTCTCAAAACTCTTTTTAAACAAATACTCAATAACATCATAAATCATTGTACATGTGTGTAAAGCAAAAAAAAAGTTACAAAGCAATAGCACACCACAACAATAGAATGACTGATATCTTTACAATCCCCAGGCTCCGTTTCATAGAAAATCCTAAGTGTATCTTAAGTCTTGGGACATAAAACCAACATTAGGACTAACTGAAGAGAATTTCAATAAACCTTTTATCTTCAGTCAAATACTGTTAACTATAAATAAATGCATTCTCTGGAGAAAAGTTAAGAACTTAAAGTTTCAAGATCCTTTTATTTGCAATTTTGCACATTTTCTTTGAAACACAAAATTGTCCTAGTTTTGGTCTTAAGACTTAATTCCAACTTCAAAATTTCACCATTACCATGATTAAATGTTTAATTCTGCTTAAGCTGATGCTCAATTAAACAAAGCCTGCAACATTTTCAATTTTGTTGTTTTTAGGGCATTCTTTTGGGATTCTGTTTTTATCTATTTTAAGACTTTCTATGAAACTCAGCATTGATTATGTCCCTACCTCTCTCCTCAATCAGTTCCCTCAACTTCCTCTCCAAGTTGGCTATATGACGCTCTGTCTCTTTCAATGTTAGAGCCTGCAAAATAATTTATGTATTAATATAATTATTTTTAGCATGACAAATGTTTCTTTTTCAACACTTAACTTAAGGGATGGGTTCAGAAGGAGACACTTACCTGTATTCTACTGAAATTTGCTTTTTTTTACAAAATAAAATATGTTATACATAAGAGTATTGTTGTTGTCAGATAAATTTCACCTTCTTGTTCAAACACACAATTTGAGTCTGACCTTGTTAATATACAAACTCATCTAAGCTTGTTTATGAAAAAGGCCTGTAGCATTACACGTATTTGAACCACTATCAAATCCACTTCCTGGAACAAGAAGGAAATATAGTCTAATGATCAAACATGAATGTGACCACAGAAGGCCTTTGTTTATATATTTATTTTAGTTCAGTTGTATAGGGAGTTTATACACACTCTTGAATCTGTTCCTAGAACCAACCAGTACTTAGCATTGGGTGCAAAGTTTCTTGAAGGAAACAACGATTCTTGAAAATTTCAAAATTTCCCCAAATGGCACATATATATAATCCTTCCCAATTTAAGCCAGGGGCCTTTTCCCAAAATATCTGGTAAAGGCCATAGTTCGCCTTAATTACCTTTGACACTTTGCGCCGACCAAGTTTTTTCTGGTTTGGTATTACATTTTTCATAATGTTGTAACACATAGCAACACTTGCCCTCCATTTTGCATCACTTTGACGTCGCCTGACTCTTGTTGTTGTTACACCTCGTGGCATTTGGTCTAAATAAATCAAACAAAAGATTTTTGATGAAACAATTCATTTTTTGTTTAATTTGACCTTTAAGGTCAAGGTCATTTCTCAGTCAAAGTCAAAAGTAAAAAATCCTGATATTTTGACCTTCCTTTGTTCCTTATTCCCATTCATGACATCAAAGATTGAATTCCCAATATTCATCTATCAGTAAAAAAAGAATGACAATGTGAAAACGAAAGAAATCAAACACAGCTCATGTCTATAAAATGTAAACCGAGCTCTGGTCAATGGTGATAAACATTATCTGTCCATATTCTGTTGCTAATTGACAGCAAGCTAACATAATAAACACTTCAAGGGGATAATTGCCACTGGTTGTTAGCAAAAATTTGTAACACATGTTGAGCATGGTTGCCTTTCACAAATTTTAAAACAACTGTGTTCTTAGTACACTAAAATAGATTAAACCTCAGCCAAATCATTTAAACTAGCTGGATCATTTAAAAATCTGTCTGAAATGCAACAAAAGCATGTTGTTTTTTGGCGTTTGGTTTTAGGTCGCACAAATACAGTGCAGTTCATATGGCAGCTTTCCAGCTTTACTGGTGGATGAAGACCTCAGTGCCCTTCCATGCATTAACTGATATATTTCAAAACATAAAAAGCAATAGTATCAAATTTGCAGATGATGGGACTATTTGGATGTCTGGAAATGATATACATGATTTAGAGAAATCAATCAATACAGACCTAGCAACAATAAACACACGGACAGAGAAATGGAGAATGAAATTAAATTTAGATGTAACGGTTCAGAACTGTTCACTATATAGGGGAGAAGATGTGTAAGCGGCCAGATAGCTCAGTCGGTAGAGCCGCGGTACGGTATTCCGAGGGTCCCGGGTTCGAGAAAACCCTGTGACATTTGGCGCCCAACGGGGGACCGTGACTGTAAAGCTCAGAGTTTGATTTACATTGCTCTGTAACTCTGTGAAATCTGAGGACAAATTTCAATATAGCAGGGGAGTATGTAACGGTTCAGACCTGTTCACTATATAGGGGAGAAGATGTGTAAGCGGTCGGATAGCTCAGTCGGTAGAGCCGCGGTACGGTATTCCTAGGGTCCCGGGTTCGAGTCCCGGTCAGGCTGCACATTTTTCTCACCCTGTGACATAGATAAAACTGAATACACCATCTTTAATAGGAAAAAAGAAAACTTAGGTCAAAAAGAGATCTGCTTAAACAAGAAAGTATTGCAACAGAAAGATAAAGCAAAAATTTTTAGGTGTTATCTTAGATTCTGAATTGTCATTCAAAGAACATATAGAACACACTGAAAAAAAAGGCACTAAAGCATTGGCTTCCTTGATGTCAGTATCCAAAACAGAGAAGATCAGTGTCAAAAATATAAATCTTTATACAAGCTTGGTTTTACCTCAGTTGGAGTATGCAGTCCTTGTTTGGCAGATTGCCAACTGTCAGCCCCTGGACAAGATACAAAGGAAAGGTATAGCTTACTGCCTTGGATTACACAACACAGCCAGTAAAGATGCAGTTGAAGTATTGGCTGGAGTTTTTCCATTTGATTTGAGGCGAGAAGAACTGAGCATTCGAGAATTCGGGAAAATAATGGTAAAAAATATCAGGCAAAACATTACAAAAAGTTTAAAAAGCTGTCAAGATAGATATGGAAAAGTTAGAGAAAAATTCCAATCTCCATTCTTTTGCATGCTCACACAGGTAGAGGACATGAAATCATTAACCACCATTACACTGAACAGTATTGAACCAGAGTTTTCATACCTTGAATACCTGCAACCATCTAGAACCAGACCAGATTCCTGGCACTAACAAAGTTTGCACTCTTACCCTATGCTACGACCGGATGTAAACAATACGTTCGCACAGGGCATGCGCGGTGGTTAAATCCCACCCATTTTATTCGATTAAATTCTAGAACAACCATGGTTAACCACTACTTTCGGTTTCAATTTTGCTGACAAGGAACAGTTTGAATCAACGTAAGCGTTAATTTTAATTGCAATGTCCAAAACTTTGCACTACACGGCGTAATTTTCATTACATATCCGGTATTATCACCGTCATAGTAGTTTTAATTCCAGTCGGTCAAAATGACGGTACACATTTTCATGTAAACAAACAGATTTAACTTCTTAGACAATTTAAATAAGGAATGGACACACGGTAAACTCTGTTGCAACGTAAAGTATATTCATAAACCTGTTTGAGAAAAATTGTCTCCGTGTTCAAATAAATTTCAAAAACGGGAAAAAAAGCAGTCTTTTACCGATACCCTGCAACGGAATCTTATTATTTTGACGAATTAAATTGACTTTATAACGCTCGTATACAATTATTGATTGATTGATTTTCATTATATTTATTTTGTAATACCTATCATTCAGTATGCAATCAAACAAAACCAAGTTTTCCTACATTCAAGGAAACTGTAAGTTAGGACGAGCTTTCAAAACGAACAGGTAGCAATTTCCAACACGCTTACCGAAACTTCAACATGGCGGCTCAACGTGGCTCATTTGCATAATTTATTCATAAACGCAGGAGCATAGAACTTTGTTAGTGCCTGGAACAATCTAGGGTCTTCCAAATCAAGAACTCTTAAACAAGAAGAAGATGCAAGACAGCACATCTCATCACTTCTATCTGATGTAGATACCAAAACAGCTGTAGCATTTACTGATGAGGAAATCCAGGTTCATGTGGTGCTGTAGCCTGCATTCTTCTTCCAAACACAGAAGTTATAGAACTGAAACAACCAGTATCAAAATTATCATCAATTCTAGTAGGAGAACTGGTTGCCATTAAAATAACACTTCAAGCCCTACTTACTGAGATAGGAAGATTTGATATAAAAAAGATAAAAATACTTAGTGATAGGCAATCAGCTGTTGGAATTATTGATCTTGGCTGGGAAAATAAGACACACAAATTCCTGTCAACAGAGATACTCCAGTTGAGGAAAGAGCTTGAATTAGCTGATATTACTGTTTATTTTGATTGGACTCCTGGTCATGCTGACATAAAAGGGAATGACATTGCTGAAAGAAGCAGCAAAAGAAGCTGAGGAAATGGAAACAGAAGATTCACTCATTGTAACAAGTCAAAGTGATATTCGCCACTCAGCTAGAGAATCAGTCCGCATTAAATGGCAGAGAAGGTGGGAAATTGTTGAACTGGCAGGCATCTCTATGGACTCAAGCCTCAAGTCCAACCCAAAAAAATTAACTTCCATGGCTTGAGCAACCAAAGACAGTTACTTCAACTACAAAGAGGATATTGCCTCAATGATTATTTGAACAAGATTGGGTCTAAAAACACAAGTCTATGTAATTGTGGAGAAGTTGAAACAGTTACACAATTCATAGAGGTCTGTACCCTGTACGATACATCAAGAGAAAACCTGAAGAAAGAAATATTCTTAAAGACAGGAATAAGTTAATTTACCAAAGAACTGTTGCTGTCAGACATACAAGAAGACCAATTCAAAGACCATAGACAAGAGTTGTTAAACATTGCAAATGAATTTGTCAAATCATCCAAAAGATTTTAATTTATTTATAAAAAAAATTTTTTTTATCCAAAAGATTTTTTTTTTCTTTCATTCATATTAATTAATTGTAACCCTACATGAGAGTTTTTACCGTAATAGAAAATACCAGAGTTTTGCTGTAAATACCGGAGTGACAACATGACCATTATCAAGGCTTTAAACTAACGAAACGAAATGTCAAGCACAAAAGGGGAACAGGAGTAGCTAATGTTTATATGTTTGTTGTAACCACGGATTTATATTACAGGGATCGGACACTCCCAGTTAACCCTATATAAATGCTTAAATATCTTGTCGTGCACCTGATAAAGGTACATCGATCGATAATCTACCGGCGCTAAGCGTAAATGCCCGTTCGCAACGGATACCTACTTTACAAAATACCATATAGCTTTTCCATTTATTATCCGATTTTGAAAATTTAAAGTTTATTTTGAAGAAAAATACTTGTTTAATTCAAATATCTAATTTATTTTATAAAGGTATAGTTTATTTGTCCGCAACGGTGATTAAAAAAAATAATTTGACGAAATCCGCGGTGAATTTACATTTTTTATATAAAAAGCAGGTATTTGAAATTAATTATTATGGACACGTAATAAATTCAATTTCAAAATAAAAAAAAAAGCCAATGTAAGTTATTCACAGATGATCAAAGATGCAATATTTAAGATTTATTGGGTTATGTAGTCAAATTTATTAACGCACAATTGTTTTACGGGTAATGTATTGCGGGCTTTACAATTCGCTCAACACGTGAAGAAAATATTCTTTTTTTTAGTACAAAATATTGCCGAGATTTTAATATTGCCATATTCATACAATATTTAAATTTTATTCATAATTTATATCATTATTATCTGTCGGTGCAGTTAAGTAGAAAATCATCGTAACAGTAAAGTAGGCCCTACTCTCGTGTGGCTGTCTCGATTCCGGCCTTTTTAATGTCACTCGTATATTTTAATTATTCTTTTTATTTGAATGCCTGTAGAAAGATATTTCTGATATTTTTTAATGTTACACTAGAAAAACAATAAAAAATCTTTACAGTTTGAGTCAGTATTATGCGAAACAAAAGTAACTGTTGATTATTTTTTACACATCGCCACGGATTTATATTGTAATATAAATCCGTGACATCGCTTAAATGTCTTTGAAGTTTAATTACTTTTGAAGGGGGTTAATTACCAGGTAACAAGTGATAATTAAAAAACTTTATTTTCAAACTTTCATTACCAGGTTGCATGTGATAATTGCAACAATCAATCTTCAAAAACAAATAGAATTTGAATGTATATTTTGTATGTGCAAGGTCTTAAACTACAGTCCATTGTATGTGTAATAAGAAAATGATTCTGAAGATGATAGATATAAATACCATGTAAATCTATTTTCTTTATTAACATTTATAAATGAAACTGAAAATATACAAGTCCTTTCGTTGAAAAAAATGAATATAAACATATGACAAATAAATCATTTGACGGGAATTGTGAAGGATAACTATGAAAAATTCTGTGTCAACATAAAAAATAATATTATAAAACAGCTGTTCTGTATGCCAATAAAAGTTTCTTCCTTGCCAATATAATGAATTCATCTATGTATGAACGCTTTTTTCAATGATCTGAAAATATATTTAATACACTAATTAGTAGAATACTACATTTATACTAATATTCAGGTAATCAAATAAAAGATGTTCAAATCATTTGGAAATAATTCACAGAAAAAAAGACAAATTTCAAACATGAATTTTTTTAAAAGTTTTTAAGCAATCAAGAAACTTTTTTTTGCATTGCAACCATTAAACCATGTAGAAATTAATTATCTTAATCTGAATCGCGGTAATAATTTGTGCTTGAAGTTAAAGGGCGTCAAAGTGTAGAGAGTACATGTATGCCTAAACAATAGACGAATATTTTTTTAATTAGGTACTATTTCAACTCAGCATTGCAGCGTTCTATCGGAATATTTTCATATATTAATACTTTAGCGACACAAAATAATACTGTATTAATACATTAATATGTATAAAAATTTTCACAAAGCTGCCATAACACCACATACTCTTGTGAAAATCTGTCATATTTCGCACTCCGCGCGTTCCGCCATCTCGCATTCTGTCCACCTTTATCCGATATGCGATTCCGCGCATGCGCGCGACGAGATTTTAAGCTAAACGATAGTGTCCGATCCTTGTAATATAAATCCGTGTTGTAACCGACTATAAATAAAGATTATCTTATCTTAGAACCACTGATGTTCGATATTCTAGCTAGATAACTTTTACACAATCTTGTAAGAATGAATCCAAAGAAAAAAAATCAGCCTACATGTATCTATGGATACTGCCAACCCCTCTTACGAGCATTTAAGGCAGGAATTAAGTGCACGTCGGATTGTTAGTAAAAGGTGAAAAGAAAAGTTTAGAAAGAAAAGTCCAAGCATTATAAACATGCTAGGAAGGTAAGACTGAAAATGTATTCTAGTCATGGTTAAAATGTTAATAGTGATTTGAAACAAGATGATAAGAGATAAAATAGTTTAAAAACACTGGGAGTAAGACTAGTACTGCAAACCCACCACTGCCTGTTTGAACTGATTCAAGTTGGGCAGGGTGTCAATGTTACTAGGGAGTTTATTCCATAGTATAATGCTATGAGGGAAGAAAGAGTATACTTATGGTAGTCGGAGGATACCTGTATTTGGCGTAGGGATAAAGGGTGCAATCAATTTCTGTAATATTATTTTATATGTTTTATCTATTTTATGTTCATATTTCAACTGAAACAGTACATGATATATCTTTACCATATTAAATGCATATTCATTTTAATGATAATGAATTCATCTAAATGAAGGACGTAAGTTCGACCATTATTGAGAACGAAACAACAAGTTGCATGTGCCGATGTTGCAATCTTATTTTCAAAAGTCCCCGCCCCAGAAACTATTCACAAAAACGATAGTAAAGACTTTTAATTGACTGCTTAAAAGCGTTTCTATTTATTTCTCACCAAATCTAGGTGTTTAAAATAAGCGAACATGCAGGTTTCCAAGCCGAGCATGTGTTTGTATCTGCCGAAGTACTTTTCTCACGTTATCATGCCGTATCATGGCACAGTACTGCAGGACAGTTTCAAGGCCAACTTTCTCAAAATCTCCGTGTATAATTTGAATAAAGGTGTAAATAAAACACGTTTAAAAAAGCAACACACACAAAACATTCATTTTTATTAGACATTTCTCTATTTATCACATTGTCAAAGACCTATTCTCCTGGATGGATGGATGGAATAACTTGGGAGGTTTGGCACTGGGCAATCTATCACTTTTCACTATTTTTCCCAAAGATTGTTTGCCATTTATGATTACCAAAGGAGAGAAAAAGAATACTTTCTAATTAGAACAAAAACGTTCATCATGAATTTAATTTGGGTTCTTAAATAATTAATTATTAATAATAATAATAATAATGATAATACTAAATAAATAAGAAGAAGAAGACAAAGAAAAGCCCGAATCACGGAATCTGCGATTTTTTTTACTTAAATATGATATACCTCGTTATTTATTATCTTATTTATTGTTGTTGCTGTATTTGTTGATGTTTTCTATATCATCGTCCAAAATAGGTCAACGTGAACAACCCCACAAATGCCCAACAAATAAAATGTTATATCCCCAAACAGGGCCTTTCAAATAAAATGAATTAAAGACCCTGCCTCATCCCCCATCAGGCGAGTGACCCTGGTTTATGAAAAAGGAATCCGTTCATAAAAAACTATCTTTGAAAAAGATATAGTTTGATGAGATAAAAACATTATAAAAAATTTGTGTAAAGCTGTTCCACAGGTACGTGTTTATTCTAGGTAAGAGGAAGGGCAAACCCTGTAAAAAGTCTATGTTGCTCTTCGTTCTTGCATTTCTCCTTGCCCTTTTGCAAGATGTAGAATCTAATTCATGCCAAATCCAAATAGATAAATACCTGGAAAATTACACGTACGTTGCCTGCATGTGTGGAATTTGCCACAATCCTCTAACATGGAATTGTAAGGGTTCGAATATAGCCATCATCATAGGCATCGAGACATTATCAAAGCACAGGAAATGCTAGAGTTCAGTTCAAACTGTGAAGATCGATCTCTGGATAAAACTCGAACTGATGGGCTCTCTGGTTATTGGTTACTGGTGCATAAGTTACAAACCTCATGGGCACGACATCACAAGTTCAGATGAATATGCCAAATCTATGGAAAGGGTCACAAAGAATCACAAAACTGTTTGATTTCAGCAGAGACATAGATAACACGTCTCTGATTTCAGGTGTTCAGAATATAATATAAAACATGGACTGCAATACAATAAGCCCAACCTCAGACTACAGGTTTAAACCCCTCTTACTACAGAAATACCAGAGACATAAATAATATGTTATCTATGTCTGAACACACAATCTGATGCAATCCTCAGTCAAAATGTTAAACTAATAAACTTGGAAACCAGAGAAACGATATTCATGGTATTTTTCTTACAACAAATCCCACTTCCGTTAAATATATTTACATAATTCCAATTAAGCAACAGTGACCACAAATAATTGATAAAAGGGTGAATAAATCCGCAAAAGTTAGTGACCAAAAGCCCCCAAAATATTCTTTGTACAAAAAGGGATACTGGGAAAGGTTGAAACAATCTATCAGAGCTAGCTATAGTTACCACCAAGATATGCTTCAGGATGAAAAATACTCTAAATTTAACTCAACAGAAAAGGTCTCTGGTTAAAGTTTTCATCGAAACTAAATGAATTCACTGATAAATATATACCTACAATTAAAATGACACCCATATATGGGACAAACTCTCTTGGGTTAACTGACCACTTAAAAGACTCGTAAGGAGGATGTTTTTGATAACGTTTAAGCCATGAAAAACATGCTTATTTAATATTCGGAACCACAAAGTACGTTCGCAATTTAGACTGACCCGGTCCGATGCTCGCCGTGTTTATTTACATTCGTCGTCGACAGCGAAATAGGGAGGTCCTCAAAAAGGTGTACAATTGGATTTTTGATTTTGGTTCTAATTTCAATAAAAAAGGCATGAATCATTTGAAATATTCAATCGTGAATATTTTTAAACGGACTTACATATTGGACTTTGGTGAGTAATTAACAAGCCATGTTTCGTACTCAAATGTTTTCGGGCCTGAACTTCAAAAGGCTGAAGGGCTGATACAAACGCAATCCGGTCAACACGTACCGTGGTCAACTTTTCCCCTGGTCAGCTCGTCACCTTTTTGGTCAACTCGTCCCCTACGTCTGGTCAACTCGTCTTCAAAGAGTCAACTCGTCCCTAATATGGTCAACTCGTCCCCTACTTTTGATTATGCATACATGGTAATAATCGTTTCCACGCTACTTCTCTGCAACTACGGACAGGAATTCAACAAAACTTTATTCAAACTATCAATGCCAAGACGCGATGTGCATATCATTTCCTTGTTCTGGCCAGACAGAGTTCTGGCCCTTGATATAGTATTTTCACTCCATGGCCAAGTCCTAGAAAATGTCCATGATGCAAGGTACCTGGGTGCCACTTTCTCCTCTGAACTAAATTGAAACAAACATGTCAATCAGGTTACCTCTAAGGCTAGTAAAACTCTAAACTTTCTTAAAAGAAACATCCCTTCTAAAAATTCAAGCATAAGAGAATTTGCATTCAAAACCCTGGTTAGACCCCATCTTGAATATGCCAGTTCCGTCTGGTGTCCTTACACGCAGCAGAACATCCACCAAGTTGAAATGGTCCAGCGCAGAGCTGCGGGATGGGTTACTAAGGATTATTCTACATACAGCAGTGTCTCCCTTATGTTAGATAAGTTAGGTTGGCATTCCCTGGAAAATAGGAGAACTGATGCAAGACTCCTTATGTTTTACAAGATTGTACATGGACTGTGCATGGACCACGCTACTAAACTCTGCAACAGTTACTATTGGCAGGAATTCAACAAAATTTTATGGGAACCATCAATACCAAGAGGAGATTCGCATATGGTTGCCTTGTTCTGGTCAGACCCTTCAAGACAGAGCTATAGCCCTTGATTAGTTATGCAGTATGCATACAGAGCAATAACTGTTTCTGTGCTATTTCTCTGCAACTACTGGTAGTAATTCAATTACACAAATAAGAGGAAATGCGCATATCGTTGCCTTGTTCAGGTCAGACCCCTCAACACAAGAGTTATGGCCCTTGTTTAGTTATGTAGTATGCAAATATAGCAATATTGCTATGTCTTTGCAACTGCTGGATTGATTTCAACAAAAAATTTTATGGGAACATCAATACAAAAAGGCAATTTGCATCTCATTGGCATGTGATGTCCAGGTAATACTTTTTAACACAAAGTTACGGCCTCTCTTATTGCCCTGAATTTTTTTCATGTACAAAGAATATTACTGTTATAAATATATAACTAAAGCCTTATGTCTCCAGTTGTTGCTCTATACATGTGCTAATGAAAAGTTTTCAGTACAGTGTCAGTTGTATCTGTGTGTAACCTAAAACAGAACAGGTGAATTTACTTTATGAAATAGAAGACTACAAGGTGATTTGGTATCTATTACTTAAAACATGATCTAACAGTGATAGATATATTGATATATCATATTTGAAAGGAATTTTGAGTAAATATGCTATCAGTTTATCAGAGGAATACTGGAAGTCTAATGATCGTTCTTTACACATTACATGTAATTTAGGGATGTCATTCGGAGTCCGGATATCCGAACGTTCGGATCACAATTCGGTGTCAGGACCCGATTTTCGGATCTGGATGTTCGTAAAAATATTTCAGAATATTGAGAAAATGTGATAAAAAATCATGCGTTGAGATAATCGACGTAGACATGTTGTTGACACCATATTGTATATTGTACCTTAGTTTGACAATACACGTCATAATCACTGCAGACGAAAAAAAAATCAATAATTAGATCTACTATAATAATTATGAGTCAGTTATGACACATGTTGTTAATCTATATTAAACACCAATCAAATTTAAGTTTTGTAGGATTCAAGATGAATATTCTAAGTCCCGTGCGATTGTCCTCGGCAACATTTTTTATGTCCAAATTTAAATAATTAATTAGGCTATTTTTATATATAATTCGGCTTACCGATCCGTGGACTGCTTATTTGAGAAAATGAAAAATCTGCAGAAATAGAATAGTCAAATCAAGAAATGTACTTACGAATAATAATATGTTCATTATCAAAGCTTTTATTGAAATTGATACGATAATTATCCGACAAAATAACTTTCTCCTTTAGTATTAATCAAACGTGTGCATTTTTTTAAAAACATTTTTTCACAGTTTTTTTTTCACTTATGAACACTTAAATGTGTGTAATTCATGTGTGTGTAATTCATGTACATGTAAGTTTCGGCATCTTCTTTGATGATTCGAATCAAACAGCCAGGGCTACATGTTGGTAAACATCAAAGATTGGCCACTTTTTTTAAAAAGCCGGCTACACACCTGTCAAAGGTCATTGTGTTTAAATTGTATGCATGTTATTGAACAATGAAAACATATTCATTTTTGTACGGGTGTTATTTTGTTTTCACAATTGTGAGCGAGTGTTATTGTGTATTAAACTATTATAGCACTAATTGAGGAATTGAGACAATCGGCGATGAATTTCATTTTCATTTCATTTGAAATTGTAAGTACCTTATGCACTAAATTTATCGATAACAGTCATATTCTATATAGAAATTATAAAATCAATAACCAAAAAATTTTGATACGTAACATACAATTAAAAAGGAAGTAAAACGAAATACCTCGCTTTGAAAAAGGTCTTGAAAAATGGTTATGTTATACCAGCCAACTAAGAATATAACAACGATCCCTGATTTGGATATCCGGATGGCCGGTGAGGCTCCAGATGACATCCCTAACATGTATGCCTGAAGAAAGTACATGTAGTGCTGAATGTTAAATTATTTGTCATAAAAGTAGCAATAATGTAGAAACAAAGTAGTATTTTGATGTCCTTACAAAATACTAATTCTCTATACATGTAACTGTACTAAAATTATTTGGTACAAATGTTCACCATTGTGAGGTGAGGTGTTTCTTGCAAAATTCAGGTCACTGTGGCCAAGGTCAAACTCACACATACATGTACAGGTCAAATGACAGGGATTTTTTGGGGCTTATTTCATAGCCGATATTTGGTCATATTCCCAATTGAAAATAGGATATTATTTTCCCAGTCCACAGGAAAAAATTCCCAATTGAATGTTACAAAATAAAAATATTGAGTATCAAATTCTAAAATATTTGAAAATAAGGACTCCTTCACTGTTAATATTTAAATGTTTGAAGCTGCCATCCTAGACAGTGATTCTTTGAATTCATTTAATCACTGCAAAATTTCAATCATGCATTTTTTCCAAATTTTTAAAAAAACATTGCTGAAATTCCCAATTATCATGTTCCCAAAATCCTGGAAAAAAAATCCTTATTGAAATGAAATTATAAAAATGTGAGTCTCGGCCGAGGGAGGACGAGTCACCATGAATTGAGGGCTTGTAATGTGAATATTTACAATCATGAGACTGAGCATGTGTAACAGGCGTATTTTGTGCCAATACAAACATTCTTGTATAAATATATTTACCCAGGTATGTATGCCTTTACCATGATGAAAATATTTTTGAATGAAGTTTAGTGAAAAGGATGAAGTCTTTGCAATCTTTCAAAGTTTTTAAACAGGTTCATAGTGTCTTAATATCAAGTATGATTTGTAATAATGGCATGTCATATTAAGCTACACTTTCTTTACATGAAACCCTGTATTGAAAGCTTTTTTATCTAAAGTTATAAACTTTACTGACATGATATTTCCAATTTATATGCTTGAACTGACATATTTCCAATATATGGTTGAAGGAGATTCACCCAGCAGTAAAGTTAATAGTTTGGGCACATTTATTTTTTAAACCAGTTACAAGACAAATACACCAAGATTAGTTTGTGGGTATTTGGTCTGTACACCTTGGGTAATTGGTTTGGACTTTGTGGGATTTTTTTTCTTCTAACAACAATGCAATGATGAGACTTTAATAAACTATCTTATCTGCAATTTACTGAATTTACAAGCAGAAATGCAATTTCCATCTTTTTTAATTACCGGTAGTTGGATTTATAAACTGATCCACTTTGCTGAAGTAGGTGAAGTGTTTGATCATCTGAGCATAAATTTGCAAGTTAAATACTTTGCTGTGGCTCATGTTCATTTCCATTGACACAAATTTAACCAATTAATTTAGAGCAAATGACAGTAACTTGCCTGTAATTTTATTGATTTATTCAATGAAATTGGCAGTAGTTTGCCTCCCATTTAATTGATTTATTTAAAGCAATTGGCAGTAACTTGAATCTTATATTAGTGATTTACTTAAAGAAATTGGCAGCAAGTCGCATCTTATTTAATTGATTTAATCAGAGAAATTGGCAGTAAATATGCTGAAAAGCAGAATAGAGAATACTGGTACAGAATACATAGTAAAAAAGTGATTAAAGTCTAGAATGCTATTTCAACTCGAAGAATTGGTCAAGTGGATATTATGCATCTGCCTCTGAGCTCTGGGTTTTTTTGAGATCAAGCTCAACTGTGGTCACAGCTTTTATCATACCAGGGTTTTTATGCCTCCACAGAATGGGAGCATATAGCGTTGCACTTGTCCGTCCGTCCCTCTGTCCATCCGTACGTCCCGAAATCTTGTGAACGCAACTCCTCTTAAACCGGATGGCAGATTTTGCTTAAACTTCCAGGGATGAACAACCTTAATGTTTAGATGGTAGTGAAGGAAGGATTTTTTGCTGCGACCAAATTTAACAGAATTATGGCCCTTTGTTGATTTTTTCACTATATACTATGTAGAAATTTTGTGAACGCAATTCCTCTTAAACCGGATGGCAGATTTTGCTTAAACTTCCAGGGATGAACAACCTTAATGTGTAGATGGTAGTAAAGGGAGCAATTTTTGCTGCGACCAAATTTAACAGAATTATGGCCCTTTGTTGATTTTTTCACTATATACTATGTAGAAATTTTGTGAACGCAACTCCTCTTAAACCGGATGG